AGAACATGGTTCCAGTAATCTATGGGTTTTGTTGACATGTCTTCAGCAAACTGTTTGCGGGCTTTCTTGTGTATTGCCTTCAGAAGAGGCTTCTTCCTGGGGTGACAGCCATGCACACCAATTTGATGTAGTGTGCGGCGTATGGTCTGAACACTAACAGGCTGAATCCCAATCTCTTTAATCTCTGCAGCAACGCTAACAGCACTCCTACGCCGATCTTTCAAAGAAAGCATTTGGATTTGACACTCAGCATGTGCGCTCAGCTTCTTTGGACAACCTACCCGAGGCCTGTTCTGAGTGGACCCAGCTCTTTTAAAATGCTGGATGATCTTAGCCACTGTGCTGCAGCTCAGTTTCAGGGTGTTGGCAATCTTCTTGTAGCCTTGACCATCTTTATGTAGTGCAACAATACGTTTTTTAAGATCCTCAGAGAGTTCTTTGCCATGTGGTGCCATGTTGGAACTTTCAGTGACCGGTAAGAGAGAGTGTTAGAGCTGCACTACAAATTTGAATATACCTGCCCCCCATGAACACATGAGCATAGTTACACTAATGAGTCACATGACATTTTGGAGGGAAAATGAAAAGCAGTATTCAATTTAGACATTTAGGGGTGTAGTTTCTTAGGGGTGTACTCACTTTTTAAGGGTGTAGTTTCTTAGGGATGTACTCACTTTTGTTACCAGGAATTTAGCTTTTAATGGCTATATTTTGAGTTATTTTGAGGGGAAAAGAAATTAACTCTGTTATATATGGTGCAAACAGACTACTTTTCATTGTGTCAAAAGGTAATTTTTTTCAGTGCTGTCCCATGAAGAGATATACTTAAATATTTGAAGAAATGTGAGGGGTGTATATATATATTTCGTTGGTATATGTGTGTATATGTTCTTATAATTATTTATGTGTGCGTGGATAAAGATGTGTACATACATGTATGATTATGTATATGTAAGTGTATAAGTACGTATACGTTTGTATTCAATTATTTATGTATGAAAGGCGCATATATATATATATATATATATATATATATATATATATATATATATATATATATATATATATATATATATATAAAAGGTGTGTGTATTATGTAGAGGTATCTATAAGTGATCATATGGAAGTGTATGAGTGTGTGCATGAGTGTATAAAGGTGTGTATGAATATATATCTGCGTAGATATATGTGTATAACTGTCCGATCATGCATTTTTAAGTGCATTAGTTTGTCTATATGTGAACGTGTGTGCATATATACAGGCATAAGCATTCGTATACGCATATATGCTTACATGCATGTGTGTTTAGGCGTAGGAATATGTGTATGTGTGTACTTAGATGTGTCTATTAATTTGTGTATATTTAAGTTCATGAGCGTTTTTGTGTATGTATATAAGTGCCAGTGAGTGTGTATGTGCGTGTGTAAGTGTATATGTGTGTATTAGTGTGTTTTTGCATATAAGTATATGATTATGTGTATGTGTGTATATAATGGTAAGAGAGCGTGTATTTAAGTTTCTATGAGTGTGTACATATGTGCTTGTACGTATAAGTGTATTTGTGAATATACGTGTGCATATAGGTGTAAAATGCGTTTATCTCAGTGTGTGTATGATTGTCAATGCATGTGTATGCCGTTAAGTATATGAGTGTGTATATATATGTAGGTACTTTGTTCCATAGGTGGGTGCGCTTTTGTGTGTGTGTGTGTGAGAGAGAGAGATTCAGAGGGAGAGAGAGAGGGAGGGAAAGAGAAAGGAAAAGAGAAATGATTTTCTCAAAGAGTTTATCATCAGAAAATCAGTTGTAGCTTCTTCGGGCACAAAGTGATAAAGAAGAAGCCAAAGAAAAAAAAAAAAGAAAGAAAGAAATAGAAAAAAAAAATGGCCGCTGAAAGCGTTTGATTCATGTCGTCTATCAGTATTTAATCATACCATCTTTTCTGTCTACATATCCAGACGTCTTTATATTAAACTATTTACATTATTGGGACTATTGTCCTCACGTTTGTCGCCATATTTATTATAACGTTTCGGCCGTTGTACGCTCCGGTCTTCTTCGGGTGGTTGGAATGTCGAACTGAACGCTTTATTTCGCTCACTGGAGTAGACTGTTCTAGTTCCACGTGCCATGTCTAATGGGTGTCAGTTATCTCCTGTTAATTCCCCTCTCCAAGTTCTCACCGCCTTAACCAGGATTTAACCTTTCTCCTCTGTGCCATGTGTCCTTGAAAACAGTCTACCCAAGCGATCATATAAAGGATATAATAAAGTTTTTTATAGGCTTGTGTTCTTTTTTCTATTATTTTTCGTTTAATTGTAATCATGGCTTGTTTAACAGGAGATAACTGATCTTTAGCTTCAATTTGTTTAAAGAACACAATTTTCCTTCCAATAGAAATTATGGAGTATGACACAACGTTATTTTCACCTGATGGCATGGAAAGATTTGGAACAATAACAAAAAATAACAAGATTCTCTACCAAATTTTTTAAAATCTAAGATTCAAGATTTTTGAGAGACTGTTAGATTTGTTTTTAGGGCTTATCAACTCACATCAGTTTATTTAAAGCTAGAAAATATTTTTAGACTGTGTGGATTTTCTGGGGATAATAACGATTTGCTGATACATGTCCTACTAATTAACCCATAGTTGAGGGGAGATGAGGTAAATTCATGCCTTTCCCAAGGACAGTTGCTTAAGGGAATAAGCGAACCCAACGAGTACTGGAACTCCGATCTCCGGTTAACAATTCCGAGCGATTATCCATTACACCACCCACACACCCAGGCTTACAGCCCGTGGTATTCTCTGGGGGTCACCCATCTAGGTACTCTCCAGGTTTGATGTTCTTTGACTTCAGAGATCCTACGAGAATCGGTGTTTCACCGTGACTCAAGATAAACATTTCCAAAGCAGAAACTATGGCTTATAATTAGAATGAAAGCTCTATATTGGCCGAGAAGCTTTGGCGGGTTGGCCTAGAGGTACCCGATACTGTCCAGTACGCAACAACGGCCGTGGCTGCCAAAGACCAGTTCCAGACACTGTCACAGTTATAAAAACTACACATCAGATGTCGATCTTCGAGACTGGTTACCAACCTTTTGTAACCTAGAGAAGGTTACTGAATAGAAGGGAAGGGAATTCACAAGGCAGTATGTGGTACAAGGATGATTTTTATGACCCGAGCCCGTAGGATCAGGTAAAAATTCCCCGTGAACCCCGTATACACGGGGTCGGGTTTGTTTAACTCCCTAGACGTCTACCTCCCTAGCCGCGTCTGGTTTCTTCTCTACAGGCAGAGAGTTCGACAAGTCATTCCCAAACCTGGCAGAAAACTGCCTGATTTCAACGGACTCGTATTTACCAACGTCTCCAAAAGTCAGGATGTGGCAGAAGGCCGATATTTATGTGGAGAGAATCCGAGCCCGTAGGATCGGGCAAAATTTCCCCGTGGACCACGCAGAGTTCGACAAGTCATTCCCAAACCTGGCAGAAAACTGCCTGACTTCAACGGACTGGTATTTACCAACTTCACCAAAAGGCTGTATGTGAACAAGGCCGATTTTTACATGGATTCCGAGCCGATAGGCACGGGCAAATTTTCCAGTGGACCTCACAGAGTTCGACAAGTCAGTCGCGAACCTGGCAGCGTACTGTCTGACTTAAACAAACTTCTCTGACTCACTCGGAGTTCTTTTAAGAATAAATGCCTTGTTCATTTGTGTTACCGGGGTTGTATTAGTTATTCCACAACATCTTTGTTTACTTCTTTGATGGGAGGGAGTGCACTAAGGTACCTAAAAGTTGAGTGAAAGAGCTTAATGATGCAAGCTTCTGAAAACAATTTCTTATCTGGATTAGAACACCTGCTAGATAGGTTTGATAAAAAGTGTAAGTCGAATAATATCCATAAAGAAGAGATGAATTGATCTTTAAGAATTTGCATTGTGATGTTTCTTAACCATTTTTTCAGGATATTTACCCGACATATATTCGATTGACACAAGGCTATAACAGAAGAGTCCTCGGGGAAGTGACGAACTAAATAGAAAGGAGTTTCTACAGATGTTTTGTGAAAATCATTTTCATGATATGTTCGCTGCACTAATTCAGTAACTACCTGGCTTCCCCTATCCTCTATTCATGAGCAGGAGCTATCCGGTCTTCCATTTCTAATTTCGAGTCCACAAAAGCTTATCCGCGTCCTTGTGGGTGATGAATCATCTTCCACCATACAACCTGTTTCCCTCAGACGAAACAAGCCTCCCACTATTTTATCATTACTTCCATGGAAAGTTCTCAGACGAACTACGTTTCTTAGTTCGACCAGTTCTAATCTTCACGTCTAAGACTCGCCATTCCACGTACATTGTAGCGAACAACGGCCATTCCTTCGTATTCCATTGGAGAGATTTAAGTTCCGTACGAATAGCTTCTTCCCACGACCCGCTGCCTTGTGCAATCGACTCCCTGATAATTAAAATATTAACCTGGTCAAGCATGTATCTTCCCCACATATCTCCATAAACTGTGACCCTTGTTCTGGAACCCTCTACATCGAGTACTTGGGCCCTGTACGTGGTTAATATTATTGTAAAATATATAGATATGGATGCGAGCGTAGCTTCATCGTTATCACAGCAGAAAGTGGAACAGGTAGGTTGAGGTCAGATTTCTCGTTGAAGTCGTTATCATCCCTCTCCTCTAGATATCCGTGGGGAAGCTATTAATCTGTGTCTTCTTTCACCGGGTAAAGGTTAATAACAGGACAGAGTGAATTATCTACCTTTCGTTGGGAACCAGTCCCGAGGGACGGCATCTGATGTGCAGTTTTCCTAACTGTGACAGTGTCTGGAACTGGTCTTTGGCAGCAACGACCCTTGTTGCGTAGCGGGCTGTACCGACTGCCTCCACCAAGACGTTCGGACAATATACAGCTTTCATTTCAATTATAGATCATCGTTGCTGCTTTGGAAATGTTTATCTTGAGTCATACTACCACGGTGAAACACCGATTCTTGTACGATCTCCGAAGTTAAGCAACGTCGAACCTGGTCAATACAGAGATGGGTGACCTTTTGGGAATATCAAGCTTGGATGACCGGGCGTATAATGGATAATCGCTTTTACCGAACCCAATGGTGACTCAGATATTTTGTGAGGTGTTCAAACACCCCACGTTCTTAACAGGAATTTAATGATGTTTGATAATGAGAACAGATTGAATCCAATTCTGTGCAAATCTTTTAAATATTACGTGATTTTATACATAATAACAATATGAAGAAACGTGAAACTCAGTAACTGCATTTTTATTTTTAATATAAAGTGAGTACGATGTGTTTTGACTTCAAAATGCAGTATGTAATTCATGACATGTAATACCAGAGGTTTGAATGAATCGAAATTAATATTCTTAAACAACATTTATATTTAAATATTGAAATAGACTTGAGTATAAGCAACAAAGACAGTTTGGGAGATTAAATGTTTTGAGAAGCGTGGAATCACGTCTTGGTAGCCGTTGTTCCCAGGTCCACCCTGACCCTGAATGGTAGCATCTGTTTGGGTCCAAACTATGGGCAAATAACGAACTCCCAAACAAAAATTAGAACGATTTTTGTCCTAATAAAAATACCAGAAATACATTTTTTTTTACTTATTACCAAAATGCATTCTTATCGTAAAATGACCAGATATAAATTTTTATAGTAAAATAACAAAGAATAGATTATTATAGTGTAATGACCAACAATATATTTTTATAAGAAAATGACAGTAATAAATTTTATAGTAAAATTACCAATAGTACATGTTTATAGTAAATTGACCAACAATACATTTATATAGTAAAATGACCAGCAATATATTTTTATAGTAAAATGATGAACGATACATTTTATAAGAAAATGACCAACAATACATTTTATAGTAAAATTAGCAACAATACATTTTTATAGTAAAATGACCAACAATACATTTTTATAGTAAAATTAACAACAATACATTTTTATAGTAAAATTAGCAACAATACATTTTTATAGTAAAGTTAGCAACAATACATTTTTATAGTAAAATAACAACAATACATTTTATTGTAAAATGACCAGCAATATATTTTTGTAGTAAAATGACCAACAATACATTTTTATAGTAAAATGACCAACAATACATTTTTATAGTAAAATTAGCAACAATACATTTTATAGTAAAATGACCAAGAATATATTTTTATAGTAAAATGACCAACAATACATTTTTATAGTAAAATTACCATCAGTACACTTTTATAGTAAAATTACCAACAATACACTTTTATAGTAAAATGACCAACAATACATTTTTATAGTAATATGGCAATAAATTTTATAACAAAATTAACAATACATTTTTATCGTAAAGTTACCAGCAATACATTTTTATAGTAAAATTACCAACAATACATTTTTATAGTAAAATGACTAAAAGTACATTTTTATAGAAATATTAACAATAGTTTTTATAGTAAAATTACCAACTGTACTTTTATACTTTCATAGTGCCTTGTTTTGTTCGGAGGTTTACTATTTGCTAATAGATGGAACTCTGACTGTTCTACCCCGCCGGACCAGTGTCGAGTTGAGAACAACAGCAATTAAGAAATGATTCCAGGCTCCTCAAAACTTTCAATCTCCAGACCAGAAGCGTTGCTGCCAGATGTAATTTATCGTCAGACTAATTCAGAATGGAAGAATTTTTTAAAGATTTTATTTTTCCATTCTTATATTAAACGAATTTAATGATATAGAAAAATGCTTACGTTGACTTATACACCTGTTCGTTTATATTTAAAGACACTTTTGTATTTAATGCAATTGCTAACATACGCTTAGGTAAATGAGAAAACATACTTATTAATCAATTAATTCTGCAAATACGAAACTTCATACAGAGCTAGGAACACCGCTACATACGTATGCTGTTTGAAAGTACATTACGTACAAGTTTATTATTACCCATCGATATAGACACGTACATTCAGAATTCTTAGGAAATGAAATAAAAGAAAATTTTAATTCGCTTAAAAAACATTACTGATCAAAGTCTTCTTTCTTTATTTTCCTAAAGGAAAAAAATATCAGAATATGTACAAAAGAATTAATGAAAGTTCGTTGTTTTATGTTTCGTGAAAATGACCTTTTGATAAGAGTAGGTTTTTTTGTAAAAAAGATTGCTCTTTGGAAAATTAGATTGTAAGTTCGAAACTTATTGGCACTAATTGCTGGAGGCGGGGTTGTAATTTTATTTCTTCAATATTTTATTTATTAGTTTCTCTGTTATGATTCATTTTATTTTTATGCCATGTCTCTTTAGAACGTAAGTGATCGTGACTCCTTTTCTTTATTATTTTTATTATCTGTGAAATGTCAGGCCTTTTTGTGGAAGAAAGTGGTGGGATTTCCCGTTGCCTTATACTTCGTCTGGAAATTTCCTTTTCTTAGGTAGGTTCTCAGCCAAATTTAGAGAACCCATTCTACACTGCTATTTACGAGTTAGCCATCTTGTCTCGCTAGATCAACTATGATTATATAGTGAGCTTGATCCTCACTGGGCGCTCTTTATGCTACATCTAAACTACACTTACAAAAATCACCAGCCATATATATATATATATATATATATATATATATATATATATATATATATATATATATATATATATATATATATATATATATATAAATATAAAGAACAGTAAGATATATAATCCGGTGTTCTTGTTATTAAACAGTGCTCAGTATAGATTTACAGAGCATAAATATTATAAATTAACTGATTTAAAATATGTTTTTTCGCTACACAGTAATAACCATGTTTCAAACATGGAAGCTATATCATTTCTCTGATTCAGTATATTTCAGTATATTCTCATGTATGCACAAAGGACATGGGTTATCTAATGATCTACATATTCTAGCTTTTCTTATTAATTTCCATTTTGCTGTAGGTGTTTTATTGGATTCTTTTAATTGCCAGAAGTTTTTTTTTTTACCGTCATTGTCAAAAATCTTCCTTAAATAATATTTAAAAATAAAATTAAAAAATAGGAGCTGGTAATATACATACTTATATTGGATATGAAAAAAATAATTTTAAATAATGTAAGTAATTCTATTACATTTACTCGTTTTTAAAAAGAAATATAGTCTATTAGTAATTAAGAGTAAAAATGTTTTAAAAATGTAGTTTAATAAAACGTATTTTAACACAGACATAAAACAATCTTTGAGTATACAAGAAAAAATGCCGTTAATAAAAAAAAACCCAGACGACATGAATTTAACGGATGTCAGAATTCGTTGAAAAATACACCCCTACCCTCCCTAAAATTAACCTCTTTTTCGAACGTAACTCATAATTGATACAACAATAGTTAATAAAAATGAGCACGGTACCGACCCCGTCTGAATGATTGAATTCCTCAGTATCCTTGGAAACAGGAAATTATGAATTTATGATTCAGTAAATTTAAAAATAAGTTATTCCAATATTCGCTTGAAGATGAAACGGAACTATTGCTTTTAATTTAATTATATAATTAAATTTAAAGTTTTTAGCTTCCATTTTTGAAACATGGTTATTACTGCGTAGCGAAAAGAAACCATATTTTAAATCAGTTAATTCATAATATATATATATATATATATATATATATATATATATATATATATATATATATATATATATATATATGTAGCTGGTCATTCGTATCTGAAGATACCCGTCTACTAGGGTAGCTAGCCAATCGCTATTGCAGGCACATTTTGTGTTTGTTTCCTTCTTCTTGTTTAATGATTTATGTTTAATGTGATTTATATTGCAACTAAGATGGGAAAGAGTGTGTTATCTAGCGTGATCAACAACTTGAATAAGGCAAGCATGTTCTCAAATCTTCGGGCACGATGACTTGTGACTTCGTGCTAACACGGTTATCGACGGCCTCCAGCAGTCCCGTCTACCCAATTTCACTCACAAATATTAGGTCAACCCGTGGTATAGTTTCCAGGCAAGCGGGGATAGAACCCTCCAGTCTGATAACCTCAGGAAATCTCCTTCCTGACAAATCAACCCTGGTGAGATTCGAACTAGTGTCTTATGGTCAAAATGCAAGCGTTCTAACCACAGCTAAATAACTGATGGTAAAATGCACTCTATTTCATGAAAAAAATAACCAATGGAATTCATTTGAAATATTTAAAAAAATAGAATATATCATGAAAGAGGAAACCAAATTTAGTACAACAATTACATTGTAAAGGCTACTAATGACTTCCCTAAAGTATTAGCGCAACAATTCCTTATAAACCTGTCAGTAGAAGCAGTTACTTTCAAAGTTTCTAATTTATGTCTGACATTTGACCTGTGCAATAGTCCTACAGTTTTCATGCATAACGATTAAGGACATTTTCAGAACAGATTTGAATTCAGCTGTCAATTAGTCAATTTTATTATTTAATCTTTTTATTGATTTAATTTCTACTCATCGACTTATTTTGAAATATTAACACTTGTCCATTCATTCGGATAATGCACGATTAATACCTGTTTATTCTTGTTACAAAGTCTTAAAATTTGCGAAGAACTGAAAGAAAAAAAAATCAGAATAGAAATTAGTCTTAAATTAATTCTGAGAGGAAAATTTCTGATCGTGAGAGTGGAAGTCTTGGGAGCATGGAACCACCTCTTAAATGCTGTTCTTCCCGGGTACACCCGAAGGGTAATTAGTGAACTCTCAAACAAACAAATAAAAAATAATTGAAAGTATAAAATCATTTTTATTAGTAAAAATACCAGCAATGCATTTCTATATAGAAAAAATTTATCAACATATACATATTTATAGCAAAATGACCAACACATTTTATCTGTAGTTGAAGCGATAAAATTGTTTTCAAAATATTTAGATTTAGGCATTAAATGACCCATCAATTAAACCTATATATCTATAAACATATGTTTACCATTAAAATATAAAATTATGTACAAACTATCTGTAGTTGAAGGCATAGAATTGTGTTTAAAATGTATTTAAGTGAAGCGATTAAAATAT